TTTGTCACTCTTGCCAATTCTGTGACCTTGAGCAATGCATTTGCTTGTTTCTTCTGCTAAATAGGGATGGGAGAACACACCTGTCATGTTCAAAAGTGACACACGAAAGCCCCTTTCGGGCTTGTGTTAATGTTAGTTGCTATTATAGTCACATCCAGGCCCTGCCCCCAGGCCAGATGCCATCCTCACACAGGAGCCTTTTCTTCTTACTCCCTCAGAATCGCAGTCACAACCAAGAGCGAGGAAAACGTTTCACCCTAATTGGATGCCACACACAACTAACTCTTGACATGAAAAAGAGAAGAAAAGTCATGAAAATCGCACCACCTCCCCTGCCCCAGGACTGATAAATGAGCAAAAATCTTCAGCTTCTAAAAGACCATTTGGAAAAAGAAACAGATGGGCTCTGGCAAGTGTCGAGGAAGCCCCAAGGAGGGCCCTGACTCGCCCCTGCCCTCCAAGAAGGAGTAGAGGGGTAGGGAAGGAGATGGTGAAGGGGCTGGAAGCTGGAGGGATGGGGGCGAGGCAGAGACCCCAACAGAAAGCCAGCTGTGGTTCTGGGAAGTGCTTCTCCATCTCAGCGGAAGCCTGGAGGGACCTGGCACCAGCTATGGGGAGTAATCGTTTTTTTTCTAAAAGGGAGAACTTCGTGATGAGCAGAAACTGAGAGGTTCAAGGAGTGTAGACGTCCCATCCTGGGAGTGTGTGGGTGGGGGGAGGGGATCTTTAAGCTCCCAGGATGACAGACTGGGGATGGGCTGTCAGTTCTAGCAGACATTTATTGCACACCCAGTCCGCACATGTGAGGTGCTGTGTCAGACCCTAAGGAGACAAAGATGAAGTAGGCATGGTTCTTGCTCTCAAAGAGCTCTCAGTCTGGCGAAGAACATTTGGATATGACAGGGCGGGACGTGGAGCCCGCCCTCATCATAAGCCATGGAAACACGTCAATCATGGACCAGGAGTCTGGCCTGGAGAAAAGAGCGTCTTGCTGGGGTCAGGCTTCAGCTCTGGTGAGAGTTAAGATCCCCCACGCGGGAAGGTGGATCAGCATCTGTTATGGTAACTGGAACTGGGCCCATTTTGGAGACTCGTCGGAAAGAACCGAGGTCCTATGCTCTAGAGACTTGGACTCCAAGCTGACCTGGGAGCAAGAGCAATGCTCCTTGTGACCGCTAGGAGGAGCCAGTGTCCTCGAGTGGGATGCAGGGTGGTGCTCTCTAGGGAGAGGGAGCATGAATTGGGCAGGTGAGTGTAACTTTTCTTTTAGATTTATGCACAGTCTGACGATTTCCATGGAACCTGGAACCCACTCCCCACCAACACGTGTGTGACAGAGAAAGACACAGCCTGGTATCAAAGGGGAGGTGTTTGGAGGAGGCACTGGAGACCTCTGATGCTGCCCCTCCCTTCCCACATATCCAGAGCATGAGCAACTTGGGGCGGGGGGGAGCGGTTTTGGCCAAGTCATTCCATCCATCTGAGCCTCAGTTTCCCCATCTGTAAGGTGATGTCTGAGGCCCGCTGCTGCAGTTGAAGCGAGGATTCCATAACCACAAAGATGCTGCAGTCGCCGGGTTCCTAGCACTGCCCTTTCTGCTCTACCTTCGGCCTTTACTGATTTCTGCAGGTGCACCCCAGCCCTTTCCACTGCAGAGTTTCCTGCCCCTAGCTACCCCTCTCTTGTTCCCAATTCAGAAACATTCCTGGGGCAGGGGCGGTGTAAGAGGCAGAATCTCTGGGAGACTGGAGACCTCTGTCAAGATTCATGCTCTTGGCATCACCTGGGCCTGTCTCTCAATCTATGATTCATTTCCAAACGCAGACCAAGTTCCCATCTCTCAACCGGACGTCTCCACCTGCACATGTCTCAGGCACCTAATACGCCCCAGGTTGAACCCACCACCCTGACTCCAGGCTGCTCTTCTTGGCTGTCCATCTCAGGTGTGGCCCCACCACCCTCCCAATTACCGAAGCCTGAAATCTGGGTATTAACATCAACCCCTCTCTTCTCACACTTCCCTTTTCCGTATCCATGTGACCCAAAAGTCCAGACAGGCTTACCTCTCACTCTTTCTCGCCATTCCTGCCCTGGTTCAGGCCTGCATTATTTCTTTCTGGAACCAGTTGGTCTCTCTGACTCCAGTCTGTCCTCTCTCTAATCTATCATCTATCTGTGCTGCTGCCAGAGAGCTCTTTCTAAAACACAAATCTCATTATGCACATCTCTGCTTTAAAATCTTGGCCACGGCCTTGTGGCTTAAAGATAAGTCCAAAGTCCAAATGAGGCTTCCAAGTCCATTCATGGTCTGACCCTTGCTTCCCAGTCCAAGCTCATTTCCCAGCATGCTTCTTGATCCATCCATACCACGCTTCTCCCCACCCCCCTGGTCAGCTCACGTTCTTTCAGGATTATTGCTTTTGCAAACATCATCCCTTCGGCCAAGAATTCTGACCCTGAATTTTGCTTAGTGAACTTAGACTCCTCCTTGAGCTCAAAGCTGTGAAGCCTTTCCCAAGTACCCCAGGCAGGGTTCCCATCACACTTCTTATATGTCTCTGTTATCTGTCTGCCTCCTCCAATAGGCTGAAAGCCCCTATTGAGTGCAGTATTTCCATATCTAATCGATGCTTGATGCTTGCTTGCAGGAATTCAATACATGAGTTTGAATGAATGAATAAATATATGAATGGCCTGGGAAATTACACACTGGGTTGAAATCTTCCTTTTTTCTCTGCTGGAGCCCATTGAGCAAAGGAAAGACGAGAGTGGTAGGATTTGAGGTGGAGAAGGTGGGGGAGGTGAGGGATGCCAGACCAGCCAGAGCCTTGAGGACTTAAAAAGGAATTTGGTTTTTTTTTTCTTTACTGGTCTCACATATATACATTTAATCAGTTAGTCCTTATACTCCTCAGAGAGTGATGTATACTCTCATCATCTTCGTCGTTGTCATTATCACCTGGCTATTTTTTTGGTCTCTCCCCTCACACACAGTGAAAACTCACAAACATGTGAATCTTCCACCCTCTCCATTTTTACTTACGGAGAAGATTTTGAATTTCATTCTCAAGGCAATGAGAAGTCTTCAGAGGCTTTTAAGCAAGGGAGTGACGTGATGTGATTTTCATTTTATAAAGATTGTTCTGTCTGCTCTGTGGAGAATGCATTGGAGGGGACGGAGTGGAGCTGGGAGACCAGACAGAGGATGCTGAAGTGGCACAAATGAGAGATGGCGTCAGCTAGAGGGGTGGCAGTGGAGACAGACAAAGTGGACAAGTGGGCCTAGAATTTGGAGGGAGAGCGACCAGATTGGCGAGGGTATGAGATGTAGGAGCAAGAGAGAAAAAGACCTCAGCAGGGAAGGTTCCAGAATTTTATATAGAAGGGTTTGGGGGCAGTCATTTGGTTGGAAGGGGAGTTAAGGAACTCGTGTAGAAGCTGTGTGCATAGCAAGCACGCTGTTCTTATTTAGACTGTATTTCTGTGGGGCAGGTGAAGAGGGATGCTTAGGGAGAGGCCAGAGGGAGAAGGTTTGTCTTACCAAACCACTTTTTAACACCGCCACAGGCCACAGGGCCTTCGCATGGAAGGCTCCTCACTGGAGCCTCACTGGAGAGATGACAACTCCCCACCCCTGTCACTTTCTACCATACTTTTGTTGCTTTGTGGCACTTATCGAAGCCTTGCAGAGTCGTCCGCTGCAGCCCTCTTTTGAGGTTTTGGTACACTTTTGAGGCGCAGAGGTCCAGGCCACTGTGAGAGGCTGATGCAGAGGCTGCACCCCGGCAAGGAGAAAAATGAATGCCTTTGATTTCCAGCTGGAAGAAGCCTCAGCCCCAGAAGGTGATAACTCTCCCCCTAGCCCTCCTCTTACCCCCCTCCCCCGGTTCAGCCAGCTGCTGGAGAGGGAAGCTGGGGAGGAAGGAGGCCGGGTGATTAAGAGCTCCGGTTGTCAGAGCTGGGGCCAGGGGGCACGCCCCCTGGGTGACATTTTCTCGCATTGTGTCCTCAGAACAAAAACGAGTCTTATTTGAGGAGTTGGAAGGGGGTGGGGGCAGGGGGCCAAGGCAGTCGAGTGGAATCGTGGCTCCAGGGAACAGCGATTACTCATCAAAGGCCAGGGCAGCCCTTGTCTTTGTGTGCCCTTCGCAGCCGCCCGTGCCTGGCCACGGGCCCCCAGCCCTGGACTACCCCACCCCTGCCCACCAAGAGCAGGGCTAGGGTGGGGGAGGGGTTGGGGAATCGTGTGTGGGCAGAGCGCTGCTGCAGGCACAATGGGCAAAGGAGGTGACCAAGGCAGGCTTCCTGGAGGAGGGGAGTGTGGCGATGGGATGGATAGAGGGGAGGCGCGAGGAGAATGGCTTCGGGCTAAGGGGAGAAAAAATGGAGTGGGTCTCCGGAGACAAGGGGGTGAGTGCAGGGGAAGAGGAGGGGGCAGAACCTCTAAGGTGTCAATTCAGCCCCCGGATGGAGAGTCTTGGAGGGGCTGGGGGAGGGGGTCGCTTCCTGCTACGATGGCTATTTTGGGGCCTGAATCGAATCAAATCTGCGGCAGCCCCCAGAGCCCCCAACAGCTGCGTAGAACAGCTGTCCCGCCGAGGGCGCTGAGCGCTGGATCCTCACTTCCTGCCCCCTGCTGATCTCTCTGGGCGCCCTGGGTGTGGGCTGCAAGGAAAAGAGGAAGAGAATGTGAAAGGCTTTTGGCTGGAGTCACAAACCTGGGCTATACCTTGTGCCTTTCCTCATCCTGCGCAGTGCTACCTTGGAGCTGAGACTGGCCTCTGTGCCAGTCTTCCGGATGCTCCTGATGACGGGAAGGGGATCACCCCAGAAAGCTCTTTCCTGTACCTTCACCCTCCTTGGAGCCTCTACCAGGCATCTTCCTAGGCCCAGACAATCTTCACCTGAGTTCCCT